CCAACATGGTGAAACCCTGTCTCTACTGAAAATGCAAAACTTAGCTGGGCGTGGTGGCACACATGTGTAATCCCAGCTACTTGGGAAGCTGAGGCAGGAGAATTGGGGTCCACCTTGCCTGTTGCCTAGACAGAGCCAATTCATTAAGACAGAGGAATTGCAATAGAGAAACAGTAATTCACAGAGAGCCGGCTGTGTGGCAGACCAGAGTTTTATTATTACTCAAATCAGTCTCCTTGAGCATCCAGGGAGCAGTTTTTGGTGGGGTGGGTGGGTCAGGGGAAGCCAGTCAGCCAGGAGTGCTGACTGGTTCAAGATTAAATCAGCTGTCTTCTTGCTTCTTGCATTCAGTCCGTTCCTAGGTGGGAGCCACAAGATCAGATGAGCCAGTTTCTTGATCTGGGCGGGGCTACCTGATCCATCAAGTGCAGGGTCTGCAAAATATCTCCAGCCCTGATCTTAGAAGCAGTTTAGGGAGGGTCAGAATCCTGTAGCCTCCAGCTGCATGACTCCGAAACCATCATTTCTAACCTTGTGGCTAATGTTGTTCCTACAAAGGAAATCTAGTCCCCAGGCAAGAAGGAGGTCTGCTTTGGGAAAGGATTGTTACCATCTTGATGAACTGTGTCAGTTATAATTTTGCAAAGGTGGTTTCACTTGAACCTGGGAGGCGGAGGCTGCAGTGAGCCAAGATAGTGCCACTGAACCCCAGTCTGGGCAACAGAGTGAGACTCTGTCTCAAAAAAAAAAAATATATATATATATAGTATATAACAAATATTATATCTACATTTTGGCCACAGTGTTATAATACTTGTAATATTCTTTACAACAGTAACTAAGGCAACAATGGGTTCTTAGCATCAAACACATCTTCACTTTGGCCTACGACAAAATACGTTTTCCTTATTTACTCAGATGGACGAAGTTTCCCCTGAATTATATTTTTGCTAAGGTATGTCCCCCAAACTCCTCTCTCCTCCAGATAATACAAAGGATACGATCCCTAACAGAACCTTTATAGCACAAATCCAAGTATGTCTCTAGACTCCCAATAGCTGCTTTTATGGACTATAAAACTAGCAAGCTAGCTTTCCACAAACATCTTTATTGCTATTAGTGAAAATATGCACTTATGATATATGCACGCACACAAGCATATTCCTCTCATCTTACAGAGCTAAGTCTATATCATGGAGACGTGAGCACACATTTCATAATGCACATCACTTACACGTCCCCCCAGGGGCTGGCAGGCAGGGGCTTGGTTTTATCTTTGCTGCATCTCCTGCACTGTTAAGAGTCCCCTGGGTAGTATCTTCTTTGTGCTCAGGTTTGATATTTCTTACTCAGTCTTTATGATGCCTGACCTAAAGCTCAATGGCTTGAGATGTCCTCAAGGGTGCTAACGTTTTTATCTCTGTGTCCTAGCACCTTGCTCACAAACGTTGAGTGAATTAACTTGGTCTGAATTAACATGAAATGTAAACCACTTGTGATAAAAAGATAATATACTATCTCTTCCACACAAAAGGTCAGTGTGAATCTGGATTCTGAACACAGACTAGATTGAACAAAGATTTCTTATCTGTATAAGAAGTAAAGCTGAGTGTGGTGTTTTGTACAAGGAACAAAGGAAACAGCTACAACTCTCCTACTGTAGGCTTAACTGGAAAAAGTCTGTTTCTCCCCCTGGGGGAATACTGTAAACTCAGTAGCCAGCACTCTATACTGTTGCCAGAAGCAAGAACTGGAAGTCATCATTCTAAGTCACCTTTAATAAAGCAGAAAAGATGCAACAACGTCTTGGCAATGTCAGTTTCCAAACACTGACAACCTAAACTACATCTTCTGGCCCTAGGTGCTTATCAGCTGTGCTGAGGCGCTTCACATTTTATAATGTTGATGAAATGAGGGAAGTCTTGTGGCTCTCAAATTCTCATATCCACTTAGCTAATTCCAACCCATTATTGTAAGCAGCAGCCACAGAGGAAGGGCAGTCTCCCAAGACTGAGCACTCCTATTTTACCCAGTTACAATGCTACTGTTCTCTGGGTGAATCTGTTTTAAAGTAAATACATTTACGGCTGGGGGAAGTGGCTCAAGCCTGTCATCCCAGCACTTTGAGAGGCCAAGGTGGGCAGATCACTTGAGGATAGGAGTTCGAGACCAGCATGGCCAGCATAGAGAAACCCTGTCTCTACTATAAAAAAAAAAAAAAGTAGCCGGGCATGGTGGTACGGGCCTGTAATCCCAGCTACTCAGAAGGTTGAGGCAGGAGAATTATTTGAACTGGGGATGTGAAGGTTGCAGTGAACCGAGATCACGCCATTGCACTCAAGCCTGGGTGACAGAGCGAGACTCTGTCTCAAAACAATAAAAAAAGCACATACATTTATAATTCATTCATGCATCCATTGATTTATTGACTCATTCAATAAATATGCATCAGTTAACCATCTTCAGTGGAGGCAATGTGATGCATTTAAAAGGGGATGAGTCAAAACAGGCTGGGTTCAAATGCTGCTTTTACACTTACCACCTCAATGATCTTGCCCAAATTACTTTGTCTGAGCATGTATTTCCTGTCTTATAAAAGGGGATATGAAGGAGGATTAATGAGATAAATGTACATACAATGTTTGACATGGGCCCACATCATGAAATCCCAGATGTTAGTCATACATCCTCTGACCAAGTCTTTGAATATTTGGGGTATGCAGAACAAAAACAAGGAGTTGCCTTTTGAAGAAAATTCTTAACACATATTCAGATCTTATGTGACTCTTCACCGCTTACGCAAGCGGGTTTATGCCCTCGTCCTCCCTCACAGCTACACTCCAGTTGGACGGGGGTGGCCTGTTCTCTAAGCTACTTCATGTTGCTTCACTTCCACAAGCTTATTCCTGCTGGTACATCTGCCTCCATCTCTGAGGACTCCATCCGCCATGACCCTTTCATGATTCCACTGAGAAATTACTTTTCTTTTTCCCTTCTTTGAACATCGAAAGCATGGTGTGCCTCTTTTACAACAGCTCTTTTTCAACTTGGCATGGTGTTTTGCAATATGCTCACTTGATTACAAGTTTCATCCTCTTCATTAGACTGCACACTCCTTGAAGTTTATATGGCTTTAGTTTTTGCACAGAGTAGTTATTCAGTGTATACTGACTGAGTATATTTTAAAACTTTAGGGAGTAATTAAATCAGCCAAAGTAAACTTCGTCTACTTTATGAAACACATATCTTTATAAAATATACAGTCTGCAGCCTCAGACACCTGCATTTGAGTTGCCTCTTTCCCAGACCACTTTCTGGCTAACTGCTAAACATGTTTCCACCAGATCTGCCCCTCCTGCTGCCTGTGGCTCCGACAGAGGCCATGTGGAGAAGAGCCAGGCAGACTGAGCCTACAAGGCCCTGCCTGTGCGCTTTCTGCTTCCTAACTAGAGACAGGGAACACTCCTGCCAGCAACCAGTGAGGGCCCCGTTTCTAAACTCTGCCTTCCATCGGAGGGAAGCATCCTTACCTAAGAACACTACGTCTTCAGGTGCAAGTCTTCCTTCCCCAGATCTCTTCCTGGGGGTATGAGAAAAAACTAAAAACTCTTTTTTTTTTTTTTTTTTTTTGAGATGGCGTTTCACTCTTATTGCCCAGGCTGGAATGCAATGGCGTGATCTCGGCTCACCACAACTTCCACCTCCCAGGTTCAAGCAATTCTCCTGCCTCAGCCTCCCAAGTAGCTGGGACTACAGGCATGTGCCACCATGCCCAGCTCATTTTTTATTTTTAGTAGCAACAGGGTTTTTCCATGTTGGTCAGGCTGGTCTCGAACTCCTGACCTCAGGTGATCTGCCTGCCTGAGCCTCCCAAAGTGCTGGAATTACAGATGTGAGCCACCACGCCTGGTCAAGAAAAAACTCTTAACAGGCGCTGGCTAAAGGGAAGCCTAAGGTCTCCAAAGTCTGTATAACGCAGGGTCCCTCATACCAGTGCCAGTCAGAGTCTATAAGTTTTCTACTTACAACTTAAGGCCAAACCAAAGAGCCGTGGTTCTCCTGCATGGTGCTAAAATGGCTCCAGCTTATTTCTAGTTCTGCCGCTTTACTAACGGACTCACATTCCCCAAGCCATCACTTGCTCAATCTTTCTGCACCTCAGGGGGAATGGCTGGACTACGAAACCTAATGTGTTGGGACATTTCTGCAAAATCCAGTCTCCCCATCTGGCCCTGGTCCTGCCTTATTAGATAGTTCTCATTTTGTGTTTTGGATAATTTTGAGAGTACCTGGTTCCTATTATAATACTTAATATTTTGTCCAGTGTCTTTATCATATCCATGCATGTATATGGACATATATAC